TGATCGATGTTTTTCGAATTGGTATCTAAGTTAGTTGGGCATTGGCAGCGAATACATCTGATCTCACCTGTTTCTTTTGTTGAGATGAAGCACCGTGAAGCATTCTCGACACAACGAACACTGACAAACCTCACAGTAGATCTGCGCTAGCGTTCGATCATCATCGTGATTATCGCATAAAGGCTCTGGTTCGCGATCTTTATTCGCCTGAATTCAGATATTTCTGCTTCTAAATGCTGCTTCGTGAAGAGATTCACGAATAATCTCAACAGCGCATAGATGTCAAGACGAAGTAGTAAGAAAATTGTGAATAAATAAAAAAAAGATTTGGAGTGGTTTGCCTGTAACGAACGGGTGATAGATACCTGAAGACTGGTCCACATCGACGACAGCTCCAACCATTTTGCTTCTTTGATCAGCGATAAGGCGGCGACTGAGAGCCAGAATTTGCCCGATTTCAGGATCTGCAGACGCGACGAACTGAGTGTATTTGATTCGGAGGATGTTTGCGTGGCCGATGTTGTTGCTATCATCGCAATTCGATCACAACTGTTCGACTCGGCAGCGTTCAATCGTGCCAGATTCATCACTTGATTGGCGAGTTCGATTCGTACGGACTGCGTCCATTGCTCGCTTATTGAACCATTACTGAAAGTAGTCGCTAATATAATGGCTGATTTAAGGCTTACTTCCACGGATTATTTATTATGCATATCAAATAAATTCAGATTCCACATTCTTCATCAACTTCCAGTGTAACTCAGGAAAACATCAAAAACTTCGAGATGGCGCTTACCTCACATCCGAGAGAAACTGCTTTGCGAGACGTCCGATGTCAATTGAAATCTGACGATCAATTCGCCAGTGTGTTGGTACATCAATCGCATGTGACTGAAATGAATTTCAAATTACAACTGTGGTAAACTGCAAATTCCCATGACAGACGTGAATTCTGAAACTTTCTAAAAACACTTCCTCAGTTTAGATCAAATTAAAAAAAGAGTTGAACACTGCAACTCAATAGAAAGACGAATCGAAAGATACCGCTAGCGTTGCACTCATCAGCGAATGCGTTGTTTTGTCCCTTATTTGCAGTGATATAACTTTAGCGATAACAGCCAAAAGATTATGGATGAATTTTGTGAAATCCAATGAAGTCGGTGTGAACAGCCGCGAAAGACGTTCTATTGTTTCAACTATTTGGCATTGAACAACCTGAAATTAAGATTAAGAGTGAAAATGATCAGACGAGTTGATCGATAAACTCTGGAATGATCAGTGACTCGATCAAAATCCG